AGTGACTCTCCTTGAACCTTCCACATTCCCTGGCTTCCCTGCAGGTCATATGATGGGTTCTGGACAATGAATAGACAGCATGTAACTTGTCAGTCCTCTCCACCTGCCAGGGACCATAGGACAAGCAACTACAGGAGTACAGAGTGATCCAAGGGAGGCCACAAGGAGCCCAGTCCTCTACAGACTGGAAAAGTGAGAAGCTGACCTTTAACCTTCAGTAAGATAAATAGTTAAAGGGGGTAAGGAATGGCTCCTCCTCCTCACTATTCAGAAAGTTTCAAGTATAAATTCACATCATCAAAAAAGAAAACAAGGAATTCCTCTTGGGCAGGGGAAAGGACTCCCAGATGGATGGCAGTCTCCTCCAATCTTCAGTTCTGTCCCTGCGGCTTTTATATCTCCACTAGGCAAACCGAGGCCATCGTCCATGAAGACACAAGCACAAATACCCAGATCCTGGGGTTAAATTAAACCACTGGCATCAAGGGCAAGAACTGTGTACATGAGACCACATTCTGAAATCCACTAGGGATGTGGCATGCATACAACTAAGCTAACTGCATAAGCACTATAGTCTGAACTGATTTTTTTATTTGTTTAATTATCTACAAAAGGATGAAGATGGGCTGTAGTCTAGAGAGCTCCTTCTAACTTGAAACTCTAATAATTCCACAAATGTATAAAACCAGTAAAATCCTGATACTATTTGTTTATCTATTCTGCCAGTCTGCGCTATTTGGTAATAATGTTATTGCCTAAATATGTTATTATTTTTTCTTTAAACCAGTGTCAATGAACAAAATGACTTGTTGAAAGGAGGTTATTTCAATTAAAAGCAAAACATCTTTTTATAGGGGCTGGAGAGATAGATCAGCAGTTAAGAGCACTGGTTGCTCTTACAGAGGACCCAGGTTCAATTCCCAGCACCCACCTGACAGCTAAAAATCATCTATAACTCCAGTTCCAAGAGAATCTTTTGCCCTCTTCTGACCTCTGTGGGCTTTGCATGACACAGGGGAACTTACAAACATGCAGGTAATACACTCACACACAAAAAATAAAAATAATTTTTTAAAAAACTTCCTTTTATAATAATACCATAATTATTACAAATATCAAAATTTTCATAAGGAAAGTAACATACATACAAAGTATTAAATTCACCAATGAGAATTTATCTTACTTTAAGTGCTTTAAGTGTGTTAACCCTTTTGCTTCAAGCATCTGGCAAGTTATTAGCATTGTGGTCAGAATAAAGTCTACAGCAAAGAGTTGGCTCTCTGGAGCACTTAGCAAACCAAGCTTGTCTATGCAATTCTAAAGATCACAACTAAATCATTAAATTTTTTGATAAAAATCTTCTATCTAATAGGAGTGACATGTTCCTTGGACTTTGCAAAGGAGACATTTCAAACACAAACATGTTAAATACAATCTCGTGCTGTCATTAAACGCCTGTGTACCAATGACCAAGCTCACCTGTTGGAATCTCAGGATGGCACTGACACCCTCGGGGCTTACTGGTGCCCTGATCACTGTTGGCACCTCAGTCTTCAGAGACATCTATTCTACCATTTCATTCTTCTCTTCTCCACTGCTTAAGAGTTGGCTTTGGGAAAATGGAATAATCATCACAACTGTCTCCAAGGTTGGTGCCTTTTCAATCATTTTAAGAAAATACTTTAGTGCGGTGGCTATAAAGGAATATGGCAGCTTCACAGGACACACCACAGAGCTGCAGAGAGGATGGGGTCCTCCTTGGTCTCACGCCAAGCTCCCACTACTGCTTATGCCATGGCCTGGAACACCCCCACCACACATACTAGCAGCTTACACACCACCACCTGTGCAGACAACCAGTCACTTCTTTGTCACATCCATTTCCTTTGTCACTGTGCCTCACATCCTTTTCCCACATTGGGCTTAACAAGAAAGCCCGAGTCTTAAACACAAGCATTGCTCGTTCCTCTGAATACTGCTTGATGACACATAGCATATTTTAAACTAATTATTACTATCAGCATTGTTATATTCTAAACACTGAACTATTAACATGCACTGTCTCACTTAAATTTTCATCTCATCTCTCAGAAACTTATTTTACAGTTAAACCAACTAAAACTCTTTAAAAAACAAAACAAAACCTATCCTACAAAAATCAAAGTGTTAAAATTCAAACAGATCTGCATCCCTGTAAGTCTATGTGATCAGTCAGTCTCCTAGGTATCCAGCATGTCAAATTCCAAATTAGGTTTCCTTCTTGCTTGATTCTCTGAAAACTGAAGAAGCCAAGAGGTTTCATATAACTGAGGTTTGACTTTACTAAGCTATGTAAAGTAATAACAAGGAAATATGCTCCAGAATGGTTACTTTCCACACTGTTCAAATAACCACACTTTCAGAAGTGAGGAAGATCTGTGATTCTGCAGCACAAGTCAATTCACACACATTATGGCTCCACAGGGAGATAATTCTCTTTGTGAGGGGCTGCTTGGGCCACGCAGTTTAAAGGTTTTTGATTTTACTAGTGCTATGATTTATTCAGCTGCGCAGATCAGCTTGGGCAGGGATAAATAGCACACAACACAAAAGGCTTCCACTATTGTCTACATAGCAAGCCTCTGCCTTTTATGGAATGAATATTGCACACACTTTCTGCATACCAGGTCCCTACTCAGAGGCCAAGTTCTGTGGGATGAGTTAGGGACATAAAGGGGAAAGACAGACCACCAGACGATGCAAGTGTTCTGCCCTCATGGAACCTGGACAAGAACAGATCAGAAAAAAGAGTGCAGAATAACTGCAGGCAGTATTATAAAGGAAACATACCTGACCATGCCCATTACTTGAGATTACACCAGGAGCCATAAGCTACTTAGGAAGATTCTCTGAGATGGGGACACTGGCAGTAAGGAAAAGAATGAACCCACCAAACAAGCAGTCAATGATGGACACTGTGGATCACTAGAATCACTGTGTCTGGAATGCTGAGGAATAAAAGGGCTGGGGTCCAACTGTGGTTCAAGGTAAGGTGCAAATCTGGTAGCCAAACTAAGAGTTTGCATTTACTTCATCAAAATGGATACTTACTATAACTCTGTGAGATGGATGTAGCTTCACATAAAGACTCAAACTTCCTCAAGGTCACATGGCTACTGGACACTAACACGTGACATGTTCTCTGTGTCCAGTGTAGAAACTGAAATCTTAAGTATTCAGGTATCAACGAGACCAAAAGCTCCCTAAAAACAACTGTCTCAAATAAGGAGAATTTCATGTTTGTGTGGCTCATCTATGAAGGCCCTGAAGTCAGGTGAAGTAAGCTACATCCTTAGTCCTAAAGCCTTCCCTTGTAAAAATAATAATTCTACAAAAGTACTCAGGTACCACAAATAGAAGTGCCACCTATAGAACTGAAAGATGTCAGAACAGAGAAAACCAAGCAGGAGGCATGCACATCCATCAGTTGAACTAGTTATAAATACTATGGGGCACCCGGCCACACACTCCTGATCTCTGTGTCCATGTGTGCACACCATCCTGTTTCTCCTGACTGATATTCTCAAGCATGACAGTGACCACGACAACTCAGAAATGGACCTAACACTTGGCCCTTTTCCAGGGTATCTCATGACTTCTAAGGAAGAGCACACAATTACCTTTATGAGTAAAATAAAAGGTTCTCTCAGTAACAGTTTCTGGAAAACTGGCCACAGTGGAGAAAACCGGTAGGTTTTTCTCTCAGAAGTTACACAAGATGGTCAAGAAGGTTCTTGAGCTTTGTTCTCTAAGAAGAGAGCCTTTCAAAACAACTTCTAAATTCCAAAGCAGAACTGGAGAAGACCGTGGGAAGGAAGAGGACTTGGAATGCAGTTGGTACAGCAGTGCTTTTCCACACCGCACCTCTGCTGCGGCTGGCACCAGACCTCTGCTTTGCCACTCCCTACAGGTGGCCCTAACAAGGAAAGACACTCAGAAGACACCCCAAGAGAAACCATGTTTTAGTTCTACTTATCTTCCACCATCAGAAGGCAAAGGGGTAAGGCAAGGGACCTGCTACCAACTCCAAAGATGCTTTAAAAGATAAAGATGAATAGAAGCAGCATTTAAAAAGTTACTGAATGGAGCTCTAGAAAAGCTAAGGTGAATAACCTGGGGAAATCTGGCCCAGTCAACCCTAGATAATAAACTCTAAGATCCAGTAAGAAGTCCACCATCTAGGAGCCATCATGTTCCAAGATAGCACGGATTAGCTTGGGTGATGGAACTGAAAGATTAAGGTGACCTACTTTTCTGAAGCAGGGATGGATCCTGAAACTTCTTCCCACATCCATGCACGCAGCACTTAGGAGAAATCAAAACACAAGAAAGCCACAGACTATCTTGCTACCTCTTCTGGATTTTACATGTGAAACCTGAAGGCAATGCCAGCCGTGTTTATAAATAGTGCTGACTTCACCGCAGTTGGTATTCCATTTGAAATTCGTTCATTCAAATAAACTGTGGCTTTCATGTCGTGGGAGTTGGTGCGTTAAAAATAAATGTCAAGGTAAACTGCTGCCTACTATGGCTGAGCTACTTCACCTCTGAGTAGGCAGGAGTTTACTTTTGTTTGATTACAAAGTTATCTTTATTCCAAGGAACACCGTAAATTAAAAACGTATTTGGAAGCGTCTCGGGTCTTAACTCACGTTATTACTGTAATTGGTATATGCGCATGGTCCTCAGCTAAGGCAGCGTGCTGCCTTAGTTAGACCTTCAAGAAACATTTGTTGAACAGAATTCGACATTATCTAGCTCACTACCGGAGGCCTCAGTTCCACCCCACAGTCTCCCCGGCCTCCAATGACAAAAACTGCGGATGGGAGTCCTGAATCTCACATTCCGACTACACACGAAGTTGGTGCACACACTACTTACTGCACTCCTTCCAAGTTTTGAGCCAGGACCTGCCCCTGGGAAACGTCTACAGTGCTGCTCATAGCCACAATGGTGTGTACCTGAAGTTGCCAACTCCTGGAGCACACGGGGAGGGCAGGCCTGTGCGGGATCCCGGCAGTTTAAATGCCTCAGCCCTTCTGCGCGTCCCTTCGCAGCCCCTCGGCCGGCGGAGCAGCCGGGGTCCCGCTAGGGACTCTGAATGTGGTCCCCAGACGCGACTTCCCGGCCCGGTGAGGACGGCGCAGACCCCGCGCTCCCGCTCCGGGCGCCCGGACCCGGCCGGATTCCTAGGCCCAGCCGCCGCCCAGGCCTCGCCGAGCCCCGGCCTCGCACAGCCGCGGGCCGCGGGCAACAAAGGCGACGGCCGGGCCCGCGC